ATCCATCAGAAAACAGAGCAGGCACAAGATTTCAGCCCACACTGGATCAAAAGGGGCATGAGAACTTTAGTGTCCTCATCAAGAGATAGCATCTCTGGAAGTTTGGAGAGGACTCTCAGTGCTTCAGAATCCTTCAGGAGAAAAAGAACTGAGGGGAATGTATCAGGCTCTTTACATTTATGTCCATCCTGCTACACTAAGTATCAATCTTAAAACCCAAAATAATACATCCTTGAGAAAAGGTAAAGGAAGGAAATGCAAACACCTGGCAACATGGGAATACCAGAAAGGCATAGAAGCATATACTGTACTCAAATTGAATGTTTCTACTTCCAGAGTAACTTTGGCAATCAGCTACTGCACCTGTCAACAGTTCATGGTGTAGATAAAGTCTGATTCAGATAAACCTTATGGGCTGTCTTTCCAGAGCTCACTTGACTCTAGTACTAGACAAATGAATCAAGAGTTTATTGAGGATTCACTATTTCAATGCAAATCTGCTCGAGTGAGCTGAAAAATACCTATGTTAACCATTTAAGAATTTTTTTATATCACTTTCATTGAATCAAAGCTAGGAAACAGACTTGTTTGAGGAGTTACTTCCTCCAGTTTTGTACAGGCCATTTAAAAAATAAAAGGGGGAAAAAAAGAGAAGAATGGCAGAGAATCAGCAAAAGTAGTAATTTCACCAGTGTCACTGCTGCAATGTACCATGCAAATCAGTGATGCTTGGACCATTACTGTTGCTACAGATTTTTTTGGCAGACTATTTTACAATACTTTAAAATGTCTTCCAGAAAGGCCACCCTGAATAAGACCCAAGGCAGACGGATCAATTATAAAGAGCTGTCTACATTTCCATGGTTTTGCTATTTGTATTAGCATCTGGCATTCATGGTAAACATACAGGCTCTTCAAATAGTTGTAAGCAACTAAACTAGGCAATAGGATAAACTTCCAAAAGAAATCACTGCAGAATTTCCTAAACAGTACACAAAGTTTCCATCAGTGAGACACAAAGTATTTCTCATTTGTTCACAACAGACCTACAGAAACTCTAACACCGTAATAAAAATTCGCTGTATATTTCTGAGAAGCAATAATGCTACAAGAAAAGGCCTTTACAATGAATTTTAAAAGCCAAATCAAGAGTTTGAGCAGCACACTAACTGATTGAGAACTCTTTTTGGTTCTGCAAACACTTGGACTTTGGTCATTTTTGGTCAGCAAACAGTTTGACAAGTCAAAATATTTGTTAAGCCCCACAGTGCATCCCAAATTTACATCTCATTTATGACCTCCAACACCTTAACACCCTTCTTCCTACGGGTTTCAATAAAAAAAGTGAATAATGGATAGATTATAATACAAGAAATCAGATGACACACCACACAACTGTAAAGAGCATAAACAGACACACTCGACAGCAGTTGAGGTCAGAAATCAAATTTTTATATAGATGAAAGCAACGTATTTAAACAGAAACCACGGCGCAAGAAAATGAGATGTTATACCATAGCACAGGTGGGTAGCTGAGAGACATAATAGAATGGATGGGCAATTCCACTTCAAGCACTGATGTGAAGTTCAGTGTTCCCAACAAAAGAACTTCAGTAGCAAAATATGACCTGTTTAGTTGATGAATTTTCTCTGCTCTTTGGGTAAACTGGAAAGCTAATGGAGATCCTCACCCAGATAAAAGCACACTCTAAAGTAGTCTTTACAACAGAGATGAGATAAAATGTGGAAATTCTTGTAAATTAACAGGCACAACTTCTTTCTAGAAGTGATACACTGAACTAAAAATGTTGTAATTATAACACAAAATTACATTTGGATAAGTACATTGGGTGACCTTGAATGTATACCAAAAAAAAGCCCCAAACAAATCTGGAGAAAGTCAAAACACCAAAAATGAAACAAAGAATTACAGCAAGGGGCACTAGAGGGTCCAAAGGATGAGTTTAAAAAATGGCAATACATTTGCACATGTAAGGAAACCACATGATTAAAGCAGCAAAATGGGAAAATTAACATCTCCTGGGATCTTGCAGAGAAAAATAAAGGATGCCATAAGATTCTCAGTCATCATTGTAGAGATTAAAGAAAATTTACCAAAGCAATGTTAGTTCTTTGTCATCATAAAGACTGAAGGCAACACACCCTCAGAATTGAGATAGGACTATGGGTTTTTTAATATAAAATACAGTTCTCTGTAGATACGGACAATGCTTTACATTGGAAATGTGTGGTTTGTATGGACCCTAGCCTAATGAAGAACCGTCCCACTTAACATCAGAGATGCAAAGAAAACAATAATTGCACAACTTATCTTCAATAAAAATGTTTAACTCCTCATTTACATACTGTAAGACATCATATACCCACACAGCAGCATACTGATAGCTGTCTTATAATCTGAACTTCTATAGGTAAGCATAGTTTACAAAGTCAACCATCATTTTTCAACCATCCATATTTCAAAAGTTCACTGGGATGCTGATCCTCAGTCTTGCTGGAAGGCTTCTCTATAGGCACCTGCTAATGCCCAAGACATTTCCACATTTCACATCTCATGAAATCTGAGGGAGCTGATTCATGACCAGGTGTTATGCATTTGTTTCTGTAACAAAACTGTCCTTCATCTAATGATGCTTCAAGTAACAATGCAGCAAGTATCTATAACAGTCTTTAAAACTGATATTCTTCCTTTTGAGAGGCCACATCTTTACAATGGATTCTGCAGGCTAGTAACAAGCAGCCAAACTTTCCAGTAAAGATAATAGCAAACACGTGTTTCTCTAAGTATCCCCAAACTGTCAGCTTTTTCCCTGGTTTTCACTTCTGTACTCTAAATAAAATTATTGTCATAAAATTCTGTAAATCTAATTTTCAAACAATAAGTAGCACTACAAAGGTAAAATAAAGATTTTTTTTCAGTTAGGACTGATTTGACAGCTTCTAGTATATGACTTGTCAAAGTATAAGCTAGAGTTCTATTTCTAAACGATTTTTAGTTCCATTTCTGACAATACAGTGTACCTGAAAACACCTATATAAAATAAAGTTAGAATTTAATCTATTTGTAGTTTACTGTAAATATTTTCTGATAGTGAAACCTAAAAGCAGATTGCTGATGCTGGCATAGTCTTGAGTGCACAGATTTTGAAATAAGCTGTTAGCCTCAGTGGCTTGAGCTGTGAGGAAGGCCTTGGCAAGAAGCCACATCCTCTCTCTAGAACTGCTGTGAAAGTGAATACTTCTATCAAGCAAAAAGTATCTCAGATCTGAGGTTTTCATACTTCTCAGTCTCAATTGCTTGTCATCTAAAAATCATTTCCTCATCTCACTTTCACATCCCTTGACTGTGGAAAGCTTACTGGCTGCTGGGAGCACTCTGCTCCTCCAGCTGTTCCTTTATTTGCACAGGAGTTACCATGCCTCACCTCTGCAGCTGCAACTGTGAAATCAGCATCAGCTTCATGCTGTAATTGCTATGGTTGTCTAAGGGATTCTACGTAGGAGTGTTGTGTATTAACAAATTTAAGAGGTTACATGTCAGTAGAGTGCCTAACACATTACCCATACTGCTTTATCCCCTCAAGGACATCTTTTAATATAAAGAAAGAAAATTTTATTCAGACTACAAATAAAAACCCATGGAATGCTTTCTTTATTCAGTTAGAGATTCAGTTTACCAATACATTTATTTCTCAGATATTGACAAACATGTAAAGTGATATTTAAAACATTAACTACCATATTCAAAATTACAACAGGGACGTATGTTTTTAAGGCATTAAAATTGAAAATCTGTATTTAACATGCTTAATACTGGGTGATCGTCATAGCATGTCCAGTCCAAGCAAAAACTGCAATTAACACAGACTTAACAGCATAGGTCAGCAATTGCAAAAAGGATTTTTAAATACAATTAAAAAACCCACTTCTACAAACATTGCAATATTTTCTCTAAACTCTTTTAAGCTTAAGTATATTTGAAATATTTCCCTCTTAATTCATCATGTGGTAGGTAAACTAATCCTATATGGTTCAGCCTTTAATAAACATTGTTCACACTATTATTACTATATTCAAAGAGGGACACCAGATATTATTTCTGTGTCATCACCACATTTTATCACTGGAGCTCTGTGCACACCAATCTCAAATCCAAAGAAGCTACGACACATAAACACAGTGTGTGGTAAAAAAACCTCCTTTCTCCAGTACAGTGCGCATGGCTGCATAGTGACTCTGGAAGTACAGACACTTTTCTCCCCTCTTTCAGGCGCATACTGAGATGCTGAGAAATGCCAATGGACATAAACTGTCCGCACACAGCGGTCTGTGAGCAGTCAGATTTGTTAAGGGATTCTTTATTGGTGAGGCGGGGGATCATTGCCTCACAAAACCCTCCTGGCTTGCATTTTTCTGCGACTCTTCCTCCTTGCCTCGAGTAACAGAAACCATCAGCTTAGGTGCTCCACCTAAAACAGATCTAATAATTTTGACCTAACCAGGTCAGTCTGAGGAGATATTCCACATCCCAGTTTGGATACGAGAATGTGTGAGACTGGGGCATCCCGGTTCCACCTCATCTCCCGGAGGAAGAGGTCTCGGGGTACCCACAGATGCTGAGGCCTGCCCGGCGCTCATCTCATCCCTTCTAGGGAGCTTTCGAGGGGGGACCCGCCGCCTAGGCCCGACAGCTCCACGTGAACTCGCTGGATAGGGAACAGCGGGATCGCGAGGGACACATCCCGGCCGTCTACCCCCGCGTCCCCTCTGGTTCTGGGGGAACCAGAGGGGCCGGCAGGAAGGGAGGGAAGGGAAGGGCAGCAGAGGCAGGGGAAAGCGCAGCATCCCAGCGCTTTGCCTGGCGGCTGCCCCGCACCGCCGGGAGGGCCCTTCCTTCCCTCCTCTGGCTCCGGCAGCCGCTGGACCCCCGCCCCTTCCCCGCAGAGCTACTGCCTCGCTCCCGCAGCAGCGCCGCTCACCTCTCTTGGAGCCGGGGCTGGGGCTGCCGCCGGTGGCTCTGGAGCTCTTGCGGGAAGCCATCGCGCCTCCCGTCGGGCAGCGCAGGGGGCGGAGCGGGAGCGCGTTCCGGAGCCGCCGCCGCCACCCGAGCCCAGCGTGCGGCGGGAGCGCGCCTCGGCCCCGGCAGCGCGACCCCGAGCGCTCCGCGGCCCCGCCCCCGCGCCCGCCGGCAGCCAATCGCGCCAGCGAGGCGCGGCGCCGCTCGCCTCCGATTGGCGGCGGCGCAGCGAGGGGGCGGGGCGGCGGCCCGCCGGTCGCGCGCGCCCGCCGCGCTCCCCCGCCGCCGGCCCATTTGAACGTGGCACAGGCGGGCGCGCGCGGCGGCCTCTCGCGAGGGTTCGGGCGCGCGCGCGGCGCTGAGGGAGGGAGGCTGGGGAGGCGGCGGGGGGGAGGCGGCAGGGGAGCGTGTGTGCGGCAACTCCGCGTTTGTATGGCAACTCCACGTTTGTATGGCAACTCCACGTTTGTATGGCAACTCCGCCTAAAGCATCCCGCCCTGAGCCTTAAACCGCGCTCCGCATCCAGCTGAACGCCCTGGTTGCGCGAAACACCGTTGATGTGTAAAATGTCCAACGGTCTAAGAGGATGGAGCTCGGCTCTTTTCGGCGGTGCTGAGTAATAGGACAAGAGGCAATGGGCAGAAAGTGATGCACAGGAAGTTCCACCTGAACTTCTTTGTTGTGTGGGTGACAAGCGCTGGAGCAGATGACCCAGAGAGGCTGTGGAGGCTCTGTCGCTGGAGCTGCTCCAGAACAGTCCGGACACAATCCCCGCCGTGTTCTCTGGGCTGACCCTGCTTGACAGGAGGTTGGACCAGATAACCCCTCTGGTCCCTTCCAGCCCGACCCATTCTGTGACAGATTCCACGGGACGGCGTGTCAAACCTTCAGAGAGCGCCTTTGCAACCAACAGAGTGAAAGGATATGAAGTTCGTCGCGTCAGACTGATGACTTCCCCATCAAGGCGTTTTGAGGCTTTAAAAATACTTTTAATTTACTCTGATAAAACAAACCTGGGGTTTTGCAGGAGTTCTGGATGCCTCTTGGTAGTGATATTCAGTTTGAGATTGGGTTAAATACCAGTTTGGCATGACACTAAAAGTCTAAAAAAAAAAAAAAAAAAAAAAAAAAAAAAAAAAAAATTAAAAAAAAAAAAAAAAAAAAAGCCAAATCCAGCTTTGAGTCCTGACCATAAATACAGTGTTTTGAGTCAAAACAAACAATTCTGCAAAATCGAGAGCTTTGCAAGTGGACATGTGGAGAAGGAAACCTTTCTCAAATCAAAGATTAGCACTGTGTTTTGAATGGTAATGCCACGAAGCTAACCAGAAACAGTAATTTCCTGGAGAGCATTAATCAGTATTTTTAAATGGGATTTACAGTTAAATGCTGAGTCAAGTAACAGGATATCAGTACAGACAGTAGAAGTAAAAGCAACTAGTCTGGGGAACATCAAAAATAGTGATGCCTACTTCTTGGTATATCTCCTGTGAGTTAATTTGTTTCTAGTGTAGTGAATATCTGAGCTTTTCACTTGGTTATGGCACTCTACCAGAGTCTTATTTTCACATGATATGTTAGTAATTAATATATTTTGAGATGCTTCCCTTTTGTTTGGTAAGACTAAAACTGCTGGACAAGTTTAAAAGCTGCTAGGGAGGAGTAGGTGTACTCATGACTATGTAGAATTTATCACAGAAAAGCTAACAGGATGAATTATTAGCATTTCAGCAAATTGGAAAGTACAATGCAAGGAATAAATTGTCCTAAGAAAAGCACAAAAAAAGTTGTAATCTGGTCCTGAGATTACTGAAAATACAGTATGTGACTGTACATATAAAAAATGTACAGTATAAAATACAGGATGTGTGACTATATTCTTGGAAGTAGCACTTACTGTCAATTGAGACAACAGCTGTATGTGGTTAATGTGGGACACAGTTTCCTGAAGATACACTACGGGAAATGGCACTCTGGTAAAAATAGAGATGCTGAGAACATTGATGCTACTGGACAGTCAGGGACATCTAGAAGGATACTGTTATTGGTTTACTGTTGATGCCTTGTGAAGTCTGACCTAGAACACAGACTAGACAGAGCTAAAGAATAAAGTAGGTATTTATGAAGAGGCCTCAAACAGATCCACCAGCAGAACCCAAAATGGCCACAAAACTGGGCAGCAGGTTGTGGGGGTCTCACACTTTTATAAGTTCTGGTCCATTAGCATATTGGAGCTAATTGTCAAATTACAGCTTTAGCCCAGGAAGTCCCATCCTTGTTTTCTCTCTTCAGTCCACTGTTGTTTATGCTCTTGAGCCTGAGGTCTGGATTGGCTGTCCTTGGGTCCCCAGCTAGAGAAGATATTGTTTTGTCTTCCTGTTCTGTGGAGAGAGCTTACTATCCCCCTAATATGAAGCCTAGACTTACACACTAAAGCAGAATAGAATCTGAAAAATATAAAAGCTAATACCTGAGGCATCACTGTGAATGAATCATTTGGCTTTAAATGGAATGTGAAATTCCTTACTTCTGTTTACTTAGGCACACACCTGCCAGCACTTTGTAATTGGTGTATTTTAGTACCTGCTTATACACTCTTCTGCCCAAGAAGTCTCCCTTGCAAGGTTAAAATATACTCCCAGAGGTACAAATACTCATACAATATTGTATGTTTATACTAATCACCATCCGTTTGCATGATCTTGTCATTTGGAAGTTTCTGTTGATCTCTTACAGCATCAGAACTTTCCTCCCAATCACAGGCATCTGTAAACTGAAGAGGAATGTTAGATAAGAGGGACGGTTGTCTTCTACTGATCAGAGAACATTTTTCTTTTATTTCTGCCTGATATCTCTGATCATACATTTAAATCTGATCATGACATGGTTTTGGATGAAGCAGACATTCAGCTTAATTTGCAAAAAGCAGCAGGCCGGATTTTCCTACTGGGATCACCTGAGCACAATGTACAGGCTATGGGATCTGTTTTGTGCTATTGAAGAAGCTTAGGACAGCTTGATATCAGTTCTTTTAGAGAAAGGAACACCTAATTTGAATTACATTTGCCAGGGTGACTGTTGCTACGAATGGTATGACAGTGCCTTCTGATCTGAAATGTAATGTAAATTGAAACGAATATTTAGATTGTCATTTCTGGGAAAGATGACAAAGAGAAAAGCTGACAGTATGGTTAGGTGTAAGTGCATGTGAATGGCTCACTTTTTAACCATATTAGTTAACTAGTTGTTTTAGAGCTACATGTTTGGTACATTGTAAGGGTGTGCAGGAAACCACAAAGGGATAAAGATCAGCTTTGTAGGAGGAAAAGAAGCAGGGCAGAAAAAGAATGTAACAACTGGTTGGTAAGGCAACCAGAAATTAAAGCCATATAAACAGAAGTTATAAATAAAGGCAAGGGCTATAAAACAGACCACAAAGTGATCAGTTGGAGCTTTTCTGCTTGTATCAGGCTTTTAAAAAAAGAAAATAAAAAATCCTTTCTATTGTCAAGAATCATATTTACCCTCACTCCAAACTGTCCTAATTCACTCCTTGTTGAGACTACAGGTAAACTAAATTTAAAGTATATGGCATATCATAAATCATTGTATTAAAAGAATGCCACCAATTAATGAGTCCTGCTTGGAAAAAAATGCATGTTTTTACTGTGCATGTTGTTTCCATAAATACATTTGCATTAGTGCAGTCACAGCTAGTTTGCCGTCCTGATTCATTCAAGCACAGTGACTCCACTGTTTGACAGAAAGAAACATGTCCAAGGTGATAAGCAGAAGCAGCAATGAAATAATTACAGAAGAGAATTCAGTGTCCAACCTTCTAATTTCTAAAAGAACTGCAAATATATGATCTGCATATAACAGTTAAATGGGATTCTGAGTGAAAGTATTATTCCAAAAGAATGAGTGACATCTCCTTAAAGGAACCATTAAATTAGGCCGATACTTTTCACTTCCTGTATCATAGCTGAATAAGACATTTTAAATTCCCCTTCACCTGTGCCAAAATCAGAGCTATAGTTTTCTCAGTTTATTTCCATTCATAGTTTTTCTCTGAATTTGTCATGAAGACATCTGTTATACTGCTAATATGTTGTGACATTTCTTGTATTAAAAGGTATAATAGTTGAAGGCTTAAAGGGTTTATCCTCATTCTGTTGGTGTCCCTGTTATTCATGTTGATCATTGTGACATAGAGCTTTTCATTTAGCTATATATTTCTCATTAATAAATGAGTTTCAACTGATTATTAAGCAAAAATCCATTCTCCAACAAGAGAGGAAAAAAAATTTTATGTCTTAATACACTTAATTGAAAAGACATAGAGAATTCTCAGGATGGCAATAAAAATATCATGTTAAAAACTCCAAGAAAATGTAAGATTTTTGATTGAAAACTTAGGCATTTAGGATTTTAAAATTTTTGTTGCTTAGATAATATTTTTTTTTTGTGCATGGTGAGTGAACTATGCACCTTGCTAGCTAGTTTGAAAAGGTGCTCCCACAAGAAGACTGTGTTTGAAAAGGTGCCTTTGGTAAATATAGGGCAAAGAGGGTAATGAACAGGTTTTACTGTTTGTTTTCTGGATTATCAAGTTGACACTTGAACTTCTGATCATTTTTCTGGTTACAGGCAGTTCAGAGAATCAGCCTCCAGACATTTGCATTTATCAGCCAGATTTCATTAATCGCTTGTGGAGAAACAGATCAGATGTTTTTGGAAGAGGAGGAGAGAAGAGAAAGTGAGGAGTGTCTCACTTATCCAAACACAAACAACTGCATTGTCTGTGTTGGTGTTCCACTTTTAACTAGTTGAATCTGCAGTAAAGTAAGGTGTAGTTGAGATGTTTATTATTAATTTGGAAATTTCTCTTTTATTTATTTTTTAATTTATTTGTTCTAACAGTGCTTCTGTGGCATCGAATACCTGTTATTATAATTGTGTATTCTTATATAATCTTAGAACAATTTCTAAATAGTTGGTGTTACTGATAAATAGAAGGCAGCCATTTGTTTGAGAGGCATTCAGAAGGATGTAATTATCCAGAATATCCAGACACAAAGAGCTTGACCTAGGTGCAGCTGGTTCAGGCATAGCTAAAGCTGAAGTAAAGCTTGGTTTTAAATTGCAGAGGTAAAAAGT